ACTACCGTATAAATAATCATGAAATTTTGCAATTGCCCACTTAATAGCTAAACATTCTAATTCTATTATCGCGTAATTCTTCTCGGCGTCTCTCAGCTTTCTACTAATACAAGAAATTGGTTTGTCTTCGCCATCACATCTTTGCCACAGAACGGCTCCTAATCCTAACGTCGAGGCATCGGTTTGGACAACAAATGTAGCACCTGGCGTAGGAATGTACAATGGAATATTCCCTTCTAAACATGACACGCTGTTGGAAAAACACGTTTTCAATTCTTCCGTCCACACAATCTTATCGGGGCAGCACTTTCTCAAGGTATCATTTAAAGGTGCTGCATATGTGGCTAAGTTTGGTGCAAATTTTCTATAAAAGTTTATCAATCCTAAGAATGAACGCATGTCTTTCTTAACTATGGGTCGTGGAAAGTTTTTAACGGCCTCCAATTTCTCCTCATCCACTCTCATCTTGCCTCTACCTACCACAACACCTAGGAATTTAACTTCTGCATTAGCAAAACTACATTTAGAACGATTAAGCGTAAGTCCTGCCTCGTACAGTTTCTTAAGAACTACATTTACATGATACAAGTGATCCTTAAAATTAGAGCTATACACCACTAGGTCATCTACAAAGTTTGCTACGAAGCTACGACAGTCTTGCAATATTTCATTAATTACACGATTACACAGACCAGTTGCAAATTTTATACCGAAAGGCACGACATTGAATTCATATTGACCGTTGTCAATAACAAAAGAAGTATACTTGGTTGAACTTTCAGTCAAAGGAATTTGCAAAAATGCTTTAGTTAAATCTAGTTTGCTGATGAACTTTGCTTCATGTAGTGTTTCAATAACACTTTCAGCATTCGGCATGGGAAAGTTATCAGTGTTGATTAAATTATTAACTTTTTGATATTCTACGGTTAAACGTAAAGATGCATCGGAATTTTGGACGATCACTACGGGCGATGCCCATTGACTGGTTGATTTCTTAATTATACCACACTTCAACCATTTCCTGATCTCAGCATCTACTTTTTCTTTCAGGTGAAAGGGAGTCCTGTAAGAAACACTTCTGGTAGGTTTCACAGATTCTGGAATAACAATTTCATATTTCATAAAATTAACTCTTCCTGGCAAATCATCGAAACATTTTTCATTATCCTTCAACACTTCAAGTATAGAATGATGTTCAAATTTCTCTAAATCTTTGCTAATCTTAAAATCGGAAGGTACATCATCAGCATTTTGGACAGAACATGCAGGAATAGACCGTAAGACAGGCTCAGCCTCGCGTTCCCTGAAAATCTTCAACATGTTTACATGGTATGTTCGTTCAACCTCATTGACTCTTATCACATAATCAACCTTATTGATTTTCCTTACTACTTCAAAAGGTCCTTTCCATTCTGACAACAGTTTACTGGTACTAGATGGAAGTAGTAGCAAAACTTTTTTGCCAACCTTAAATTTTCTAGCACGAGACGTTTTATCGTAATACACTTTCTCCTTAGTTTTATTCAAAGATTCATTCTCATTTGACAGGCGCATAAATTCCTTCAGACGCTCTCTCATAGCCACAACATACCGTCAACCGGGGCTATTCGGGACAGATTTGAACGATTAGTTTTAAACAACAGTTAATAACTTCTTACGATGAAACATTTCATAAACAAGTTTAGTTTCATTTTATAGCTAATTGGCAGGGCTATCGAATGGCATTGTCAAAAAAATTCCATGTGCTATTCGTATGGTGCCAGACGCAAAATAGAGCTTGTCCCGAATAGCCCCGTCGGTCGGGGCTATTCCGGACAAGGGGAATAAAACAGGAAGGCTCCTAATTTCACATCATTTTAGTTGGGACTTTCTGTGATCATTAACTTCGCGTGGTCATTAACTTCACGTGATCATTAACTTCCCATGGTCATTAACTTTGCGTGATCATTAACTTCGCGTGATCATTAACGTCACGTGATCATTAACTTCCCTTGATCATTAACTTCCCGTGATCATTAACTTCACGTGGTCATTAACTTCACATGTTCATTAACTTCCCGTGATCATTAACGTCGCGTGATCATTAACTTCCCGTGATCATTAACTTCCCGTGATCATTAACTTCGCGCGATCATTAACTTCACGTGATCATTAACTTCGCGCGATCATTAACTTCACGTGATCATTAACTTCACGTGATCATTAACTTCACGTGATCATTAACTTCTCGTGATCATTAACTTCACGTGATCATTAACTTCTCGTGATCATCAACTTTTCACGTGGTCATTAACTTTGCGTGATCATTAACTTCACCTGATCATTAACTTCGTGTGATCATTAACTTCGCGTGGTCATTAACTTCACGTGATCATTAACTTCTCGTGATCATTAACTTCACATGGTCATTAACTTTGCGTGATCATTAACTTCACATGGTATTTAACTTCAGGTGATCATTAACTTTGCATGATCATTAAGTTCCCATGATCATTAACCTTTGTGAAAAGAATGTTTTACTGACAACCAGCCTATCTTTTGGAGAAATAAATCATAGTTTAGGTCAATTACTTTTCATTCTATAATGCCTGGTGCACAATTCTATACATGACATGCTATGCACAATTTTGTGATGACTGATGATGCACTAATTTTTCGATAAGTGAAATTTTTTTCGCTAAGCAAGGAAAATGTGATCAATATTCTTCGTTTTTAATCAATTTTTTTCGTAATTGAAGCCTTTGCTAACTGAGGTTCTACCCTTAATGCGTGTCCCGAATAGCCCCGGGGGGGTGTCCCGAATAGCCCCGCCGTGCGGAAATGGCTGCCATTTCTTTTTGGAATGAGATAGGCAAATTCTGTCAATTACGTTTTCGAGCCGACACCTGGGTGCAACTTTTATGTAAGTAAAATTTTTTAATACGGCGAATATTTTTTTTGCTACATACCTTAGCAGTTGTAACTTTACAAAACATAGTTTTTCACCAATTTTTCAGGAATTTTTCAAAGCAAGTAAATGTAGTATTTTTCGACTTCCTTTATACTAGATAGATAGGAAAAATTGTTACGTTTATGCCACTATTTTTAGTTTTGCGATATTCCAATTAGTTTCGCTACTACAACAGTTTTATGCCATGTCATAGGCCTGTCCCGAGTAGCCCCGCCTGTCCCGAATAGCCCCGGTTGACGGTACTACACAATTGAAACATTTTGTCCACTTTTGATCCTCCTTTTCATTTATAGTCAGTCTCCTGGCAGGCTGGCAGAGCACTGTATCCAAGGAAAGCTTTTCACCTTGGCTGGAAAGTTTTTTTATAAGTGAACTTCCATTCTTAGAATTCCAGCCTGTCGCCAAGTAGATATATTCCATGCCTGTTGTGGATACCAACATTATCATACAAAAGATAATGGTTTAACACTTTGACTGCAACGTGTGACATACATGGTACTCGCATGCATGTCCCCAACTGCAATGTGTGCCATATATAGGTAGAGCATGCTTGAAAAAGTTAAATTTTTAGAAAAGCTCTTTAAAACATCAGCCAGATTATCAACTTGTGAAGAATATCATAGAGAATTGACAAAAATGCTTTCAAAAGCCCATATGAATGCCTTGCAATTGAATTATAGGAATCTTAGTAGTTTAAATCAAGCCTGAAATAATGAATGGGTAGAAAAAATGAAAAAGAATGAAGCAAAAGGTGTTATCATATTCCAATATGATGAAAAGTATTTTTTCAGTATTGGTATATAAATTATAGAAGTAGGAAAATAGGTACTTACTAGACATCTGATAGATTCCTAAGCTCACAGTGAAACAGATTCCCAGCACTAGGAATAAATTTAGCACTGGAATGCAGACATCTAAAATCATTGCAATTTGGTCATAGAAACATTTCTTTGCTTGCCTAACCTATTTTGAGTGACGATACATTCAGTCATCTTCATGGAATTCAGTCATTCACAGTGATTTTTATTGCCTATAGAACTGATCATAGAGCACTTGTGCATTTACTGCAGCAGTTTTTGCCAGCAACATGAACAGTTATCAGCAAGCGTGGAAAACATCTACCTTTAGGGCTGTGACTAGAGCTTTTCTGCCATTTCTGGAACTGCAAGATTTCTGCAGATGAATTACCTCCTATCAAATTGTTAACAAAAGTGCATGATCAGGCTGTGAGATTATAATTGTATTAAAAATTCATCACATTGGAGCTGCGAGATTTCAAAAACAAGTAGGAAATTTCCAATCCTGGTTATCAGTACCACTTCATGCTGTGGCTTTCATACTACCGTCAACTGGGGCTACTTGGGACGATATTAAGGGTTTTTGTTAATAACTTCTTACCATGAAACATTTCATAAACAAGTTTAGGCTCATTTTATAGCTCTTTGCGAGGGCTATCGAATGGCTTCTTCAAAAAAATTCCATATGCTATTTGTAAGGTGCCAGAAGCAAAAACAGAGTATCCCGAGTAGCCCCGTCGAATGGGGCTACTCGGGACACTTGGAATAAAGCTTCATTTTAAAATATTTGAAGCATGCAGAGTGTACTCATCCATTACTAACAGTACTCTGAAGTCCTCCTCTTTCATTGTAGATGATGTAAAGGTAGAATAAATGACATTTTCTGTGAATTTTACTCGTTTTTCCTTTATTGATATATTATTACCATATACATTGATTACCATATTATTGATGCAATATTACCGTATTACTGATGCGGTATTACCGTATCCATGAACATGCCATTGAGTATTTACAACAACCTTGTCCACTGCAAGCTTCATGTCAGCAGCCTAGATGTAAACAACCATTTCATGGGTAATTTTCAAGAACTGGCAACTGAAATGGGCTGTTTTTATTAATTTTAATAAAAGAATTCTTGCTATGGGCATCAAATTGGGTAAAATTGTCCTTAAGTATTTTCATTTTTGTCTCATGACTGTGTGGCTTCTGTCACATTTTACAGATTTTACAGATTAGTTTTTGTTGATGTACGGTATGTATGTTTAGTTGTCATGAAAGACAGCAATGAAACCCAGAATGTAAGGTAAGGCCAGGTGCCATTTTGGTTGAGATATTTATATATTTTCAAGCTCTCTTTTTTTAGTAATCTTCACCCATGCCTAATTACAATTTATTGATTAATCAATAAGCATAACATGGATTGGTATCTGCCACCTTTTTAGCACATTTTCTCATTTATGCTAAAAATGCACTATTGTGCTTGCCATGTCTGTCCGTCCATCTGTCTGTACGTCCATGACTTAACGATTTCGTCAACAAGAAAATGCACTCTCTGTCACTCACTGCAGTGAGTACTGAGTTATATTTTTTATTAATGTCCATCATTAACCTAAGCAAGATTTTAATGTCCATGCTGATCATTTGCCATTGGATATATTCATCCTAAATCACAATCCAAAGAAGCTCAATGGGCAACTACAGTTGTTTCAATTGTATCTCTGCATCTTGGATGCTATGCTTTTGGTACTATCCCTGACACAAGTTTTGCCAGACTTTACTGCCTGTATTTAAATTAATGTTGTCACCACTTCTAATGCCATTGCACTTATGTTACACAATACCCTTTATTAACTAAATGAATTACAACTTTCTAGCTAGAATAAAACTGCCTTTGCTCTTTTCATGTGGTAAGCAAACACAAAAATAAAAATCCACTGTCTCTTTGAGTCTTTGTTGATAGGCCACAACTTTCATCATGTTATGAATTTAGCTTTTTGCATCAGGATTGGATAACTGCTCCATTTTACTAAAATTTGATGGATTCAAAGTGGCATACTTTGCATCAATGTAAAACTTTACAACTTGCATCAAACTGTCTGAACTGCATCAAAATTGTCTGATTTTTATGTCAAGTAACCCAAGTTATTGCTACATAGTAGTTCAGATGAAATAGTTTGTGAAAAAAATGAGATTTTTCCCTATTTATCATTTATCTTGTCTTGTGTGATATATTTTTATTTTTCAACAAGCATATGTAACCTGTAAAGTTTGTCCCCTTAAATTTTGCTGAAACCAGTTATTAATTGTAATTTCTATTTCTTGGCCCTTTGAAATTTTAGAATGTTTGATTGACAGAAAATGAAATTACATTTTTATTAAACTTGATTTTTAACTTTTGTCATCAGAAAAAAATGTCAACATTATTTGTTTACCCCGTTTTTTTACTGCAGGTTGTGGAGCTGCTCAACCAAGCTGCTTTCCTGCCTTCTGAGAAGCAGAGGATCTCAATGCTCAGTCAAGTGCAAGAGCTTGTTGTACACAGACAGCCTGACCTACTTGACACTTTTTACGAAGAAGTTGTTGCTTTTCAAAGTGACAAAAATTCTGATGTCCGAAAATGGGTCGTTGGCTTCATTGAAGAAGCTTGGTGAGTGCCCTCCTATTTTTGAACAATTTTTTTTTACATATTTATCATATATTTATTACTGGTTTTGTGTTTTGCACCAGGACATGTTTCAAATATACTGTCAAATGGGGTAGTAAAGGACGGTTTTGAGCATTTTTTGTTAATAACTTCTTACCATGAAACATTTCATGAACGAGTTTAGGCTCATTTTAAAGGTCTTTGTGAGGGCTATCATATGAAATATCCCAGAAAAATCCATATGCTATTTGTAAGGTGCTGGAGGCAATATAAAAGGATCCTGAATTTGGAAGCTGGGTAATAAGGGACACTTGAAATAAAACTCAATTTTAAAATGTTTGAAGCATGCAGAGTGTACTCAACTATTACTAACAGTACTCTGAAGTCCTCCTTTTCTTTTGTAGATAATGTAAATGTAGAATAAATGACATTTTCTGCAATTTTTACTTGGTTTTTCTTTATCGATATAATATTACCTTATCCATACATTACCATATTATCAATGTGATGTTACTGGATCCATGGACATGCCATTGAGCATTGACAGCAACCTTGTCCATTGCAAGCTTCATATCAGCAGCCATGTAGTATTTCTTCTGTATCTGTAAGATTACAGGATGGTTTGTAATTTTGCACAATTTTAATCCAGTCAAGTGATTTCACTATAACAAAAAAGATTGTAAAAAATGTACCTGAAACAGGAAGAATATTTTAGTGACAACCATCATATTTTTTTTTCTATCTTTAACATTCTATGCACAATTTTGTGATGACTGATGCAGTAATTTTTTGTTAAGTGAAATTTTTTCACTGAGCAAGGTAAATGTAATCAAAATTCTTTGTTGTAAATTGATTTTTCCATCAACTGGAGCCTTTGCTATTCAAGGTTCTACTGTAAATGCAATTTTAGGGGTGTCCCTTATTACCCCAGGGGGGTGTCCCTTATTACAGCGTTTTGCGGGAACTGCCGCCATTTTCCCTGGGAATGAGATATGCAAATTCTGTCATGTTTTTAAGCCAACACCTGTGTGCAACTTTTATGTAAGTAACATTTTCAATACAACAAATATTTTTTCTGCTACAGACCTTACCAGAGGTACTATTCCAAAATCTCACTTTTCACATTTTTTAAGAGATTTTTTAGAGGTAATAAATGTATGATTTCTCAACTTGCTGGATGCTGCATAGATAGTAAAAATGTTGAACTTCACATCACTATTTTTATTTTTGTAATTTTTTGATTATTTTAGCTGCTCCAACATTTCTGCAAAATGTTGGAGGACTGTCCCTTATTACCCCGCCCGTCCCTTATTACCCCGTTTGACGGTACTACATAGGTACACTAAATTTGTGACCTCGGTTTAGTTTCAATTGACTGCTTCTACTGTGTTTCAATCATCTATGCTTTGAATTTTCATAAATTACTTAAATTTCCTAATGAGTGTTGATGATTTAAAAGAATATTTTCTGTACTTATAGCAAGAAAGATGGTCGCATGTTGCCCCTGCTGCTGCCCAATGTTCAACTACTTCTTGAAGACGGGACTGTGAGTGTGGTTAAGCGCTGTGTGCAAGCCACAGCTCCTCTACACAAGTGCACCCTTGTATGGGTTACATCAGCCCACACAATCACTTCTGACATGGAGCTGGCATGGATTATTCTCACAGGCATCAAATCCAAAGTAACTGCAATGATTGACCATGAGAATGATGGGTAAGTTACGTATTTCTTGACTAGGCTTGTTCATTTTCCAATCATGACAAAGTTAAGGAAAAAATGTACATTATTTGTACCTATATACAAATAATTGTGATAAGCTAATTTTTGGAATAATATTAGTTCAAATAACTGACCTCAGCTAACTGACCTAACTTCAAACTTAGTTTTTTGAAAAAATCAAGGTTTAGATTTCATTGTTTGAACAAGTCACTCTTGATGTTTATGCTCGTATTCTCAACTTAAAAATGTCTGACCTTAACTTCTTTCATATGTTAGTTGTTGGTTTGTATTTCATGTCATGTTTTGCTACAGAGTGCGCACTCAAGTAATCAAGTGTATGGAGTCCATGATTCTGGTGCAGAGCTACAGTGAAACCACATCTGTGCACAGAGAGCGGGAGAATGTCCCATTCTGCCTCGACAGAGTCCCTCTCACTCTTAAGCTCACTAGGCCCAGAAAGCTTGAGGATGAAGCCAAGTAAGTTGATTTGAACATTTTTAACTTGCATTTGCTTTTTCATGTCATCACAGTAATAATGTAAATGTATTATGTTCCGAGATAATGTATTCTGAGGGCTTGAATTCCCTATTAACTACCGTATACACTAAATGCACGAGTGAAAGTTTTATATAGTGGCAATTTGCTAGTATATCTCTAGAAATTTGTAAAAATTTGTATTTCAGAGGAATAGTCTTTGAGTTAAATGATTATTTTCACCACACAAGAAATTTAATTGATCTCTATGAACCCAGACAGATGGTGCAGAAGTTAGTGAGTTTCCTGGGTAGTATTCACATCAGCTCGGTGAACCTGATGACTTGCATGAGCTCCCTGGTGATTTTAGCGAGGGCTCGTCCCATCTTCCTGCCTTCTGTCGTCCAGTCTCTGGAACTCCTCCATGGTGAGATACACAAGTTCTCTCTGGTAGAAATTTTGTTTAAACATTACAACTTCAGGTTTACTTCATAACCTCATGTTCGTGCTTACTGCATACTCTGTTGGCTGTATAATTTCAAAATATTTGCTCTTATTTTTCTAAATTGCTACCAAGTGTTGCACACTGCATTAAGAAAATGAACATGGTGTACCCTTCAAAACTCTTCATGTATTATTTATATTGTCTTTTTATTATTGTATTTGTGACAATTTATGTAATTTTCCTTTGTTGCAGCCAATCTTCCACCCACTCTGTCCAAATCTCAAGTTAACAGTGTTCGTAAGCATCTCAAGCTGCAGCTCATCAACCTTCTGAAGCACCCAAGTGCCTGTGACTTCCACGACAACATTATTACAGTACTTACTGATCTCGGCATGAGCAGCAGTGAGGTTAGTCATTCTGCTACCCTTTCTTTGATTTCATGCACCTCAGGAAAATACCAGATTTTCAAGCATAAGTCAATACGAATTAGACGCTTTTATTATCGAAAGGATTCTTGTGGGCTTGAAAGTGTTTTTGACTGCCTGAATTGGTTTTACTTTTGTAACTAATTATCAAGTTTGTTATAATTACAACACTTCTCTTTAACTTCACTTCTTGTTTGTCTGTCTGTCTGTCTGCTGCAAATCTTATAATCGAAATTTAATACACTTCTACTTATCCTATCGATCTAAAATTTTGCACACTTGTTTAAAGTTGGAGACAATGCATGAATCAAATGTCAAAATAAATGATTTTTAAAATTTAAAAATTATTTTTTTTTTCAATATTAAAAAAATTGAAAAAATAATTTTGTCAGCTACAAATCTTATAACTGATATTTGACACACTTTTGCCTGTCTAATTGATCTGAAATTTTGCACACTTGTGTAAAGTCAGAGGCAATGCATGAATCAATTAACAAAAATAATTTTGAAAAAAATTTACATATTAAAAAATTTCTATATATATTAAAAAAATTGAAAAATAAATTTTTCTAATTTTCGAAAATTAGATGAAAAATTCATTATACATCTGTAAGATTGGAGATACTGGATTATTTGGAAGTGTTGTCTTTAAAAAGTAATTTTTAAACGTATATTATGCATTTGGTTTTTCAGATCAACAAAGCAGTTCCGAACCGAGAAGAGATCCGGAGGCAGGCTAAGAAGCGCGAGCGAGCCAAGGCGGCTGCGGTGGCCAAGAAAGAGGACGGTAATGAAGGATCGGCGAGGAAGCGCGCTAGGTTGAGTAACTCAACCTTGACTTCTAACAAAGACATTCCTGAAGATCATAAAAATACCATTAAAAGTAAAAACACATCACAGGACACACCTTCTACTTTAGCATCACTTACTAAAATCAAAACTGAAACTATAGATTCTAAGAAAATTGAAGACGAAGGCGGAGAAGATGATGAGAAGGAAGAAACGGCTGGAACGTTGCTCGACATGACGACCAAGTGGGTGCTACGACGTCTGACTATTGACAACGTCACTGAACTCGTCATGACCAGCATGGTGAGTGCCTCCACCTATTTGTTCAGTTCACATAATATTAAGAGTAAATATAGGTATTCTTGAGATGATGGATTCTTACCATGCCTTTGAATGCTTTGCAAAGAATTATTTCTAGTGTGACTCCAGTTGATAAATGTTTTGGATTTTTATTCCTTGATAGCTATTTAATGGTGCCACTTGATACTTTTTAGTTTCACTTGATATTTGTTAGTCCCATTTCCATATTGCAGCTGTCGCTCCCCCCCACAATGCCGGGGCTGTTCAGCGCAGGCTACACGCCCGTGTCAGGCGCTGGCACGCTGCAGCAGAAGCAGCAGCTCTCACGGCTGCTGGCCTCTCAGCTGGTTGCTGCGAACGTGTCGCCCATGGGCCAGCTGCCGCCCCAGACTTCAGTCGCTCCTATGGCTGAAGGACTAACCGAGGAAGATATTCAGGTCTGCTCATACATTTCGAATTCACATTAATTTTCCTTTGTACGTATTTGACCTGAAGCGCTAGCAACTACGGCCACTGAACTAACTAACTTTCCTTTTTATTTTTGCAGTTATGATTTTATACTACAGTGCAGTATGTTTAATATGTTGTAAGTTTTGAATTTTGATGGAGATTCTTTTCTATTATCCATAATCCTTTTATCCTCAATGAAGAGAAAAAATGTGAATTCTCTATAAATTAATTTTTACGCTACTTGTATATTTTTTGTGCTTGATATTAGTAAATAGAGGAATAACTTCATTTGTATCCGTTTGTTTTTATTTTACAACAAAATTTATTTCTAAGAAATATAATTAATTTGTTGTCATTTAATTATTAATGGTAACTTTCGTCCCTCAGCGCCTGGGCGACAGTGACGACGAAGGCCCCTTTGTGTCCTTCCTGGGCTCCCGTCCTCCCAATCTATCTGTGAGCTGCACTCCCTCTGAACTCCTCTGAATTGTTTCATGTTTAAGAACCATTGCCAGCCAAATATTATTCAGTCTAGGTTAATTCTGTTATTGTCGTTATTGTTTCATGATTCTTTATTTAAAGAGGAATTTGTTATCAAGGATTTTGTCACTTGTTCTTCATGGATGTTTGTTTCGTAATTTGTTCATAGATCCCGCATTTGCTAATAAAAGTTGCAGAAAAATATCAAAGAATATATTTCAAAGCCTATTTGATCCTATCTGAATTGCTGCAATTTTCTGAAATTGTCGCCTTCCTTCACACAGGCCCCTCCTCCCGCATTGCCAGCCCCAATATTGGCACCAATTCGTCACAAGATCCAGGCCGTGAAGCTCTCCGAGGTGACGCCGGTGTTGTCAGAGCAGCAGCAGCGCTCGCTTAGCATCTGCCTCGTCCGCAATCTTCTCAGGAGCTACCACTTCAATAATCTCAGCCAGCTGGACAAGAAACATCGTATGCATATGATTGCAAAACTTTTGGCCTTTTCTTCTGCAGATGAAATTCGAGGTCAGGGTTCTAATCATACCTAATTTGAAACATTCTTATAATAGCAATAACTGTCGGATATAATTATAGTTAATTGCAGTCAATTATTAAATATGAACCATACATACATTTACCAATGCTTGTTGGAAAGAAATATGAAGTCATGTCATTAGCGTTTCTTGATTAATGTGATGTTCTTAAGAATAGTAGCTGCTATATTTTGGTATACCTAATTAGGTGCGATTTTAGCGTACATAAATTGGGATTTTTATTTCAATCAAAGGTACTCAATGTTTGGAGTTTTATTTTTATTTTGTCTGTGTATGGAGGTGTGCATGCGATGTTGTGATGCATGTATGTGGTTATGTTGAAAAATATTTACTAGTCTCTTCTTTCATTCTGCAACAACTACGTCTCTTCACCATTTTAGTTGAATTTTTAAGATGCTTCAGCAATGTGCTTTTCTTCTGGCCCAACCTTCAAAAGCTAACTGTGCGAACATGTTAGTTTGAGTCTCTTAATCAACTCTCAATATTGTTCTGTAACATTACTTTTAAAATGAACTTGTATCATTGCAGGAGTGGAAGATACGATGCTACAAGACCCGTCTAAGTATTGTGACCTCATAGAGCTGTGGATTTTCTGTGTACATTCTGCCACTTGTGACTTCTCTCAGCTGGCAAGAATAACTGGTAAGACTTACGCTCAAATGTATAAAATAAATTTATTGTGTACAAAGATTTTAGTTATTTTGTGGTTCGTTGAGATACTTTGCCATCCTTATGCCAACTTCTGTTTGAAAAGATATTTTGAATTGTTTACTAGAGTTATAATATAAACTCGAGTATAAAATATATTTGTGATGAACAAAATATAATGATAAAATATGTGATATAGTTAAAAATACAGTATATGGTTAGATGCATTTATTTTGTTTTGGACGAGGAATTCAATTGTGAAGTTTTGTTCGCAGGTCGCAGCCACAAGAAGAAGGTTCTCACGAGCAAACAAGAATACGACGACATGCTCGTGCGCGTCGTGAGGAGTATTGTCCCGCAGTGCACCGAACAAACTTACCGGGAGTGAGTTTAGCTACAAACTACTGACTGGTTTTGTTAACTGAGGCCGTACTATCAACAATAGTCTAGAGTTCTTAACTCCGTTAACCAATCAGCCGGCTTTAGCTTCTCAAGCTAAACCTATCAATCAGACGAGAATTCAGCCGTCCATGTGTGTTTGAAATGGCTTTTGATAGTACGACCATTGATCTCTTTCAGTTAAGTCCCAGGTCGTCAAGTGCCGATGATCATTTCAAGTATTCCAGAACGTAACTTCGTTCATTAAATTGCATGAACTTGCGCCTGAACGTGCAAAAGAACCTGCTCGATGCTACTTAACACCGGCAATCGCATATCTTCTCAACACTGAAATGCCGATGAGGGCGTACCATAACTAAAACCTTTCTATCGCCTGTTTCTCCAATTTACTTATTTTTTTTTCCTAGGACGTTACACGTTCTCCAATGCCCTCATATGCGTGCGCGCAACCGTTGGTGGGGTTTTTCTTCAATTATGGAGTATCCACCATATTATTAGGAATATGAATATGAAAATGCTATTCCTTTTAGCATATTTCTGGTGCTTTTTTATGAATCAACCGTATTGACTTTTGTTAAGTATATGTTGACGTTGTTTTCAGTTTTATATGTTTTGAAATTTTTTGTTTGAGTGTATATAATTTGATTAAAATTTTTATTAAGTTTTCGACCATTTTTGTTTAAGAATGAGCGAATGCAGGTTGATTTGAGTGGCTAAAATAAGTACACAGTTCTTGATCACAACTGTTACTGAAATTAATGCACGTGTTTTGTGGTGCAGTTTTTTGTCATGGCTGTTACTGAAAGTAATGCACGTATGTCCCCGTTCAGTTTGATGTCACAACTGTTGCTGAAAGTAATACTCGTATGTCTGCGTGCAGTTTGTTGTCACGACTGTTACTGTCGTGTCCGGCGGTACCGGTTACTGTTGTGTCGGCGCTGGTGGAGTGCGCGGTGTCCGACAACAACAACAGCTCGGCTCTGGTCTGCTACTCAGCGCCGCTGCTGCGGGACTTGGCGCTCTGGCGGTCCAACGTCGCCACACACACACTCGCCCTTCTGTGCAGCCTTGCCATGCACAGCGACGACCAGGTTAATACATTTACAGCGTATTTCATACATATTTGCTCTTTTTAGCGCATTTTCTCATTTATAGAAAAAAGGTGCTATTGTGCTCGTCATGTCCGCCCGTCTCTCTGTCCGTCCGTGACCACGTTTTCGTCGACGAGAAAATGCGCTCTCTGTCACTCACTGCAGTGAGTAGTACTGAGTTACATTTTTTGTGGATTTATTAGTGGAAATTGTTCTTAAACTACATGCCTATACTTCCGCCATTACTAATTATTTTCATTTACTCCAAACCTTCGAAAATTCATGGTCATGATTAGAAACCTGCTGAAAATTGTTTAATTTATAAATAAACAGAAGTTGAAAGTGATTAAATTGAAATGGAACAGAAGAATGTCGATTTTTATGCTTATCAATTGACCTATGTTAGTTTTTGTGACTCCATTTGGCAAATGATATTTTCTTTGTATTGTAAAGAAGTTTATTATTTTGTTATAGTCTATTATTCATATATTCATCTCGTCACAGGTACGAAAGGCTATTCTGCAAGAAGCTGAGGCAATTCTTCTAATTGGTGGCAGTCAAGCAGAGTCGATCATGTCAGCAGGACGTCGCCAGCTGCTGTACCTGGAGCAGCCTGAGCCTCCTGACGCGATGTTCGCCGAGTTCCTCGGTCGCCCCACCAAGCTCGAGGAGTGGGACGAAGCCACTGTCAAGGCCTGCCTCGACCTCCCCCTCACCATCCTACCGCTGCACGAGGCGCTCGTGCATGAGTGAGTCAAGTTAAAATCTGTTTGGAGAAATGCGAGTTAAGTAGCAGGATCCTACCGGTGTGAATAATCCTCGCCTCGTGCATGAGTTAGTCATGTGAAATTTGTTCAGAAATATACGGGTTGGACCTTACCAGTGTGAAGAATGGAATGTCTTCCCTCTTCCCAGTAAATAATTTAGCCAACTCTCCAAGCAAGCAAGCTACACTATAGCCAAACCGTTTAATACCTTCAATTCAGTGAGTTAGTCAGGGCAAATATTGTGTTGTTATGACAAGGAGTACGTTAACTTATTTGTGAAACGTCTGATACACTAGAGGTTATTAAATTAAAGTTCTAATTAGGTCACTGTTCAGTAATTAATTTCACAAGTTTCCAGGTTCATTTGATTGGGATGGGGAAAACTTACACGTTCTACTGAATGTGCTCATTAACAATGAAACGATTGAGTGTTCTGTTAAAATGCTTATTCTGTTTAAATTCATTAATTTGGAAATTATTTTTTTAAAAGAATTATTAATGAAGATTAGTTCAAATTTTGGTTTCCCTATAAAAGGCTTCACAATTTCACTACCGGTACACAGAAATAAAAATGTCAAACTAGTGCAAGCAAAGGTTAGACTCAACTAAAGCTAAAACGAATTGCACTATATTCCTGACATCAATTCTGCTTTTGTAGGCTTCGGGTGCTGATGATTTTTGATGGGCATTTTCATGTTCACATATTTCATAAAACGGATGAGTAATTTACGCGCTAATGTTTGCAGTTTAGCGCTGGTTTACATCAAGACTGTGAACGAGGCGAAGCGTGGCATCCTCCGCCTGCTGGAGGGCCCCGTGAGCCTCATGGGCATGGACTCGCCGCAGCTGCTGGCTCTGGTGCGCTCGACGCCTAAGGGCAGCGAGACGCTCATCACGCGCATCATCCACATCCTCACAGAGAAAGGTCTGGCGCTATGATTTTTTAATCCCTGTATTTTCATTACACTTGTCATCCAAATCCTCAAAAAGAAGGTCTGACTAATCCATGTATTTTCATCACACTTCTCATCCAAATCCTCACGAAGAAGGTCTGTCTAAGTCATGTATTTTCATTATACTTATCATCCACATCCTCACAAAGAAGGTCTGTCTAATCCATGTTATTTTCGTCACGCGTATAACCCCGCGTATCGTCCCAGAGAAGAGTGTTGGTAAGCCATTCATATCCTTGGATTTTTCCATCATTTATAGCTTCAAACGCATTGAAGGATATTTTTTTATGTCCCATCCAAATAATGTAAATGGCTTTTGAAGTATGTTGAACAGTTGCTTCTATGTGCACTACTTTTCATAGATGAAATTTCGGTCTTGTGCCTGTGTGGAAAGGTGAGCTTCTCACTGTCACAGTTTCATTTAAATTATTGTTTCTATCTACTTTATATTGATTTTTTCGAAACGATAATTAATCTTTGTAATTTTTTGTCTCCTAGAAGCGATTTACTTCCGTTTACCTGAAGTGTACTGAAATTCGTTGTTATCTTTTGAATAAAATATAAGATTCTAGATGTTCTTGTTTTATATTCAACTCGACTGGAGCATGAAAGTTTTCCTGTGGCAATTCTCTTTTCAAATTAATCTTCTAAGTTGATATTTACATTGTAGCATGTAAATAATTATCTTGTTACATGTAAATTATCTGAAGATCACGAGAATGCCAGTAAGAATAAGAATACATCATGGGACCTCCCTTTTACTTTAGTATCACTCAATAAAATAAAAAGTGAAACATATTCGTGTAAATTTTGCTTTTCACGTTCATTAACGTTAATATTTCATACTTTGGTATCAAAATGGAGAATCCTGCTATAATGTACTTTAGTTCTAAATTTCGCGGTCTCATTAAATCTGGTTGGTTTGTTTCAGCTCCTCCGAGCGAGGCGCTGGTGTGTCAGGTCCGTGAGCTGTACAACAGGAGGGTGAGCGACGTGCGCTTCCTCATTCCGGTGCTCACGGGGCTCAGTAAGAAAGAAATTATCGCCGTGCTCCACAAGCTCATCAAACTCAACCCACACGTCGTCAAAGAGGTTAGGATTATTAAGTTCAACCCACACGTTGTCAAAGAGGTTAGGATTATTAAGCTCAACCCACACGTCGTCAAAGAGGTTAGGATTATTAAGTTCAACCCACACGTTGTCAAAGAGGTTAGGATTATTAAGTTCAACCCACACGTCGTCAAAGAGGTTAGGATTATTAAGCTTAATCCATACGTCGTCAAAGAGGTTAAGATAATTATTTATAAACGGGTAACTTCCATCGATGTATGCGGTTTGATTTTTTTGTCTCCGATATTTTTATTGTAAAGGAAGGGTTTCTATGGTCGCGAAGATCGGTGCATGACATTTGGTTTATGTTCTTATTATGAATTATTGAAGTACTTCAATAATTTTTCTTCTCCGTCAGGTGTTCAACAGACTATGGGGCGTGGCACTCGACTCTGGGACGTCTCCGTTATCGCCTGTGGAGCTTCTTGTTGCTCTGCATCTCATAGAGGCGGACAAGTGTGACGTCAAGACGGTTATTAAAGGTAGGTAACCATGTAGACGGTTATAAAAGGTAATCATGTAGACATTTGTGCAGTGTACAAATCAATTGAGTGCTCCGTTGATGTGTCGTGCAGTGCAATAATCTGATGACTGCTTCCTTGATTTGCCATGTAATGAATACACCAGCATACGTGTTTCGTCCTGCATTGAACCTTATCACAAGTCTAGACTTTTAAGTTCTAGGTCCATTTCGTGCGTTTTTTTATGTTATCTTCTGTAAATCATGTCCCTCGTAAAGATTAAGACTTTATTTGAATGTCAGCGACGGGGCTGTGCTTCCAAGAGCGCTCGATCTACACTGCGGAGGTGCTGGCTGAGGTGCTGCAGCAGCTGCTCGACGAGCCTGTCATCCCGACGCTCTTCATGCGCACCGTCATCATGACCCTCACTCACCATCCTCAGCTCCTGTCACTTATCATCAGTGTTCTGCTCAAACTCATTGAGAAGAAGGTACAGGGCTCTTCTTACTTCGCTCTCTTGCCGTTTCCGAGCTCATTTTGCTGCTGATATGTGTTCTTTTTTAGGAGATTCTTGTGAGGGTAAATCTTATTTGTTATACAATTTTTAGCGCATTTTCTCATTTACGGAAAAAATACACTTTTGTGCTCGTCATGTCCTTCCGTCTGTCTGTCCGTGACTTCACGTTTTCTTCGCTCATTTTCGCGTTTTCGTCGCTTCACGGTGTACTATATTGTGTTGCGAAGAATGTCACGAGAATTGAAAAAGATTCTCGAATATATATGTTCATTAAATGTTATGGTGCAATTATATGTTTTCGGTTGTTCCATGCACAGGTTTGGGAGCAGCCGAAGATCTGGGAAGGCTTCGTGAAGTGCTGCGAGCGAGCCAGCCCGCAGTGCGTGGCTGTCTTGCTACAGCTTCCCATCCAGCAGCTCTCGGACGCTTTCGAGGCTTCTTCTATGCTGAAAAATACACTCGCGACGCACATTAAATCACTCACCAAGCATCAGGTCAGTCGTGCTCTCTTCTGAGATCGTACTTGTACAATTCTTACGACCATTTACTTTTTACTTCCAAGGGTGATTACTTATTCGAAATCCCGATAGAATTTTTATTTCGGTATAATTTTATTATTATAATTATTTTTGGCGTTGACAGCTTAAGCAAATAATTTCATAATTTCGAAATAATGAATATACCCGCGACGAATCCAATCATATTTATCCTATAATTTTCTTTGTTGAATAAATTAATCCTTAATATCCTTAGTATTTGTTTGGGACATAGCAGTCCCAGGCCACGATGGATCGCCGCCTCTCCACGATGGATCGCCGCCTCTCCACGATGGATCGCCGCCTCTAATATGCAAATATATTTTACTTGCTTTATTCAGTGAAATGTTATTAGTTATAAAGTAGTTGGAAAACAACATTGTAACTTATGAGCAGAAATCGAGTATCGGCTTGGACGTATTAGCGCTCGTGGGCGCGCTGGACGAGACGCCTGACGACCAGGACCGCGCCGCCGCCACCACCGCACCAGTTCGGGAAATTCCTGCTCCTCTCCAGGTAAAATAAATCCACGTCGAGCTTTTCATTGAATACATTTATTTAAAAATCATGACTTCTCGTTACGTAATTAGAGTTATAATTATCTAATCATCATGAGATGAAGGATTGGATTATCTTATAATCACTGAATTAAGGAAAGGTTTCTCTGTTCATCTCGAGATTAAGGAAGGGATTATCTAATCATCAAGGAATTAAGGAAAAGATTCTTTTATCATCAAGGGATTAAAAAAAGGATTATATAATCATCGAGGAATTAAGGAAAGGATTCTCTAATTTTTATGGAATTAAGGAAAGGATTCTATAATCTTTATGGGATTAAGGAAAGGATTATATAATCATCGAGAGATTAGGGAAAGGATTCTCTAATCTTAATGGGATTAAGGAAATATTGTATGATCATCAAGGGATTAAGGAAAATTCTCCATGCATTAGTACCTATAGGTCCTTAATATTTACGTTAAATTAGGTAGTTATTTTTGCCTCATATTCTGAATACCATTATTCTTAGTCTGTATAATATGTAAATATTCTTGATGCTGATTTGTCTCATTTCTTTTCCCCAGCTCGCCTAACACGACAAGTCTTCAAAAGTTCAACAAGAAACTCTGCTATAAGTGGAATCTTCATCTATTAAATGCGTTATATTTCAGTGCAAATTATTATTTATTCCGTCAGTTTATTCGCTATTCGATGTGATACTGAATTATTTTCTTTTCTTTAAAATGTATGAATGCACAATTTCTCGGTCTAATGGATATTCAGCATCTCTAACAGTGTTGCAATATTTATCCTTTACTCGATCTAGTTAGCTCGAAGATAAAAAATGTTAATTTTTCCCCCGTAGTTGATTAACGGAAAACTAAGCCAATTTTATCTTTAATTTCATTGCCATTTGTTGATGCATGGTAATAGGTAGGTTATGAGGAAATTCCTTTAAATATTGAGGGAGTTTTTTTTCAAAATAATGAGGAAATTTTGTATGCATGACAAACAAAATGATACTGAATGATGCTTTCATGTTGATGGAGTAACCCAAAGTGTCGTGGGCTCCATCTCTGACATGGCTGTGGACTACATCGTGGACTACATACATTTTGAATTACGGTATTTGAATTAATTTTGAATTATTTGAATCAAGTTACATCAAAACTAAGTGTTTATATTATTTTCCCCCTCCTCAAGAAATTTTCCTCGTCTACAAGAATTCATTACATAGAATAGAAACCGGAATTTTTAAATTATGTGCCGCTTGCCTATTATCTAGGAGACTCGGAGGCCTCGCGCATAAAGAAATAAAAACTCCTTATTACCTTTGATGTCATGAACAATGGACGACTTGGAAATTTAGCAGTGTTTTCCTGGTTCGAGGAACGCTCGTGTTGACTTGTAGCGGCGGTGCATCATCGCGAGTTTTTTATCGCAACGAATTCTTCAATTTTGTAGCTTGTTTCCTCGCTGTCTCGAATGAATGTTATAGCAGCGTGCCAGCTATAGCTGGGCTGTCCCTGGTAGAGCGGCGATCAAATACGCAGTACAAGAAATCGGTTGTGTTTGTTCCTTTTGGCCCAGGGTTCAGGGTGCAGGGTGGCCCAGTGGTTACCGTTCAGAGTCAAGATTGGCGCAGTGAGGCGCGGGTTCGATCCCAGCTCTGTGCGACAGTTTCTGGTCAGAATCGGCGAGGAGGCCGGGCGGTTAAGCACAGCAAAATTTGAATCGGTGGGTTGTGTGTTCGAGACCACATCAAGCTGTGCATGTTTTGCAATGTTAAGAATCGGCGACAGGCCTACGACCTAATAAACGCTGAAACCGCTATATTTTTCTAACTAGCGAGTGGAATATTCGACGCGAGTTTTGAACTGCTGACTATTGAGCTCCGTCAAATTAATTTATATGCTTCGGCATATCAGTTAAGTTACCAATCGCTATTGTTACCAAGTGGCAAGTAATTGAGCTAACATCTTACGTTTGGCAATGCTACTCTCACCAGAATGAGCAGTTACTGAGAAGTACAGCGTTGAGCAAGTGCCATGGTTTTCGTACTTTCAAGTGCGTCTCTTTGGGCGCTTAAGTTGTGGCGTCTTGCTTTGCTTATGTTTTTATTCTTATTAAGTGTTTATTATTCAATGAATTCCATGAGAATGTTTCAAAAAGAATTAGATACATTTTCAATCGTCCGTGGAGTTGAATTATTCAAAACTAAGGAGACCTCTTCAGCTGGTCAAAATCTGTTCAACAGCACAGGAAAAATAAATTCTGCTACTAATCAGGACGCTTTCTACCAAAAATTCGAAGAACCTTTCTCCCAAAATTCTGAGCCGGATAAAAGCGTTGTTTTGACTGGGGGTCTAGCCCCCTTGTCCGTCCCTGCGACGCGTGTAGACCCCTCTGGAGACCACAAGTTCGGGGCTTCATCGCCCTCCCACGACCCCTCGGCGACCCTCGCATCCCCTCAGCAGTGCTTCTTCTCAGAGGGCAAAATCAACGCAACCGACGACGCATCTGTGAGTAGGTGGTGCACATGAGATATAAATTTATACGTAATATTCGTAGATGATACTTTTCACTTCGTGTACAGAGTATAATAATTAGTTTTAGTTTAATCTTTGATTTGGATTTATTTTCCAGAAAAAGAGATACTTAGCTATATGCTATATATATTCGTAGATGATATTTTTCACTCTGTGTACAGAGTATAATAATTACTTTTAGTTTGATCTCTGATTTGAATTTATTTTACCAAACCTGAGATACTCAGTTATATGCTATACATATTCGTAGATGATATTTTTCACATTGTTTACATAGTTTTACCGATTAGTTTTTATTGGATTTTTTTCCAGGTTAAGCTTCACCTCCGTGAAGTGGCTCGTCGTCGTCGCCATGTCCAGCAGTTCTGTAAACATGGAGTCTCTACGCGGAACTCTACTCTCGCCTCCGATTATAATTTGTTCGATGCCGCCCATTGTGTTTCCTACTGTAAAATATTGAAGGTTTGTACGTCCCCTTGAATTTATTCCAAATACGACTCATATGAGTACAAATTTACTATTTTTGGCAAGTTGTTTTCCGTTGCTATATTGTTTAGAACTTTTTTGATATTAAACTCAAACACAATCGTTTATATAAAAAGGTGTTCTTTTAAACACAATTCAAATGCTGCTTTATGTTTCTCCAAATCTTGACATACTTTTAACGAAACAGAGGCATAGTTAACACGACTCTAAAAATGGACGCCAAGAAGGTATAGCTTATAGTTTTTCCTTGAAAATCTCAGTCTGGATCCAGCACGATGCTGACCTTCATGTTACGTATCAACGGACTTGACGATAAAGTTGATAACAATGCCGAGCTGCACGGCCGGGCCCAAGCCGCGTTCCCGGCGCCTCCAGGACAAATGTCAGCGCGAGCTGCACGAGGATTTCTCACGGTCACCATCGTGCGTCATCCTTTCAGACGGTGAGTTGTGCACGTAAAACATCCACCGAGTTAGTTCAATTCTAAAATTTGTGAGGGTTTAATATATTTCAAGTGTTATCTGTGCCCTGAAAAGAATTGCTTAATGTTCACGTGATTGCTATGACACGTTTGCCATCTTGTATGGGAGGAAGTCTCATCTTGAGAATAATTTCATTTCCTGAAAATCATATTATAATTTGTATTTATCCTTATAATATGTATTGTATTTATATATATAAAACATATATTCAAGTTTATAATATGAATTCATGTTTACAACATGTTTTCTCTTGTTGAACGAAAAGCTTGGTGTCGTGCTACTGCGACAAGGTCATAATCAACGGGCTAAATACGAACTTCAAAGACGCTATTCAGCACCTAAGAGGACGAAAAACGTTAGATATTTTACGAGAAACGCTACCTAATTATTACTTTGAGTCGATGGATTTTGAATACAATGGAAAGTCAAAAAATAAAAGTTTATCCCAAGATCGGTATTCCCCGGAAAAGATTTTGAAAGACAACAATTATCGCCTAATTTGGAGCACCCCAGGAAAGGAAAAATTTATGAAGTCTAAAGGAAGAGTCAAGGCAATACATCCCCTGCCAGATATCCTGACATTCCCTGAGTTTGTTGTGCTCGTGGCTGTGGGAATTTTGCCTTGCATTGGAAATCCTGAGTGCTTGGCGAAACTCGACCGACACGTGCTGCCTCAAAGCAATTCATGCGATTTTTGTAGTGGCAAGTTAGACTTCATAATGAAGGTAGGTGGGGACTGGGGAATAAATGCACACTAGTGCCTTATCTCTGGCATACTCTTCAATAACAGTAAAATGATTAGTTAGGAAGATAATATTTAGTTTTGAGCGATATCAAACCATATCACCTGATAGATAAGTTGCTGAACCCTTCTTTAATTCAGGAGCTACTTCTTGAGGCATGAGTAGAGGATTTGAACTTTATTCTTAATTACTGTTAACTAAATTTATTTGAAATGGAGATCATATGAACAGATTATTTTTATCAAAATCTGTTCCTTTGCTGTCTTGAAACTGCGCTAAATAACAAGTTTAATGCGATATGAATAAAATAATCTAAAAATAAACCAGATTTACATTAATAACCTTTCTGTTTTTCAAAGCTGGAGTCCCTGGATGAGGATCTGTTGCTGCTGAATAACTTGCTGAGTCGGCCGAAGCCGAGGATGAGCGACACTCGAATGACAGATTCGGACAAATTTTCCTCACCGACAACCCAAAGATCATCAACATTAAAAGCTGTCTTAAAAACAGTGGAAAACAGCATTAAAAACGAAGACAGCGGCTCGGAGTTGTCGACGCAGGGTCCAAGCAAGTTAAACACTGGTCGTTCATCTACCTTACATGCATTATATGCGATACCAAACTCGACTCAAATCGCTTCAGCTGTTGCTGAAAATTTTACTTTTTCCAAACACTCAATAAATAATTCGTTTTCGGAAGTCTCACCGCGACCCCGTGGCACTGAGATTCCATTCCACGAAGGATCCACGACATTTGCTCCCGAAGGATCCACAACATTTGCTCCTGAAGGAATCAACTCGCATGCAAAGCTCAGAGTCAATCCCAGCAGCGATTTGTGTTTGTCATACGACGAGTACATGCATCAATTATCCGGATTCGAAATAGATCTAATATATAATGCGTATTATCATGATTTCCAATATTTTGGCTACGTGCCTTTGTAACTTTTATTTGACACGCATTATATACATAAAGCCTCTCGTTAAGATAACAAAATAATCTATTATGTCCTCGAGGTTATATGTGATTGAATGCATTGAAAACTGCGAAGATGCTTCGTGCCATAATAGGTAATGCAGAACGCTTCGTAGTAAGAACAGCACAAAGGTTATGATAATTACCTGTGGATTGTGATGCACTGAATTTTGCTTTGACAAGTTGCGACGGCTAAACTAGTTAATTTTTTGAGTTCCTTCGTGAGCTGCCTCATTCGATGGATCGTATGTAATTGCAAACTGTTTTTGCCCATAACCTGTTGAAAAAAACGGATTTTAAAATACATTCTATACCTAAAGTTATATGTAAAAATATCTAGGACATCTCTAATGAACTATGATGCCCTCACTTCAGCAGGTCGCTAGTCCGTGCATGTGTTATCGCTCCGTGTTAGCCAAGAGATTGGGTGTAACTGAGTTACATCGGTGTCAGTGAATCCAGCGATAACGACAGGCAAAAAATTTGAGAACATAATTTTCTTGATTTAATATATAATAAAATGAAGATATATGTCCAAATTTCTTTTAAACACGGAGAAAATTCTTTTTTTTTTGGTTCTTTGAAAAGAAAATATTTTCTTACAAATATTAAATGAAGTCTCATTCATTTACATTAATAAACTTGAAAGCTGTATGATTATTCACCGGACACTCAAATTCCTATTGCTTGCTCAAAGTGCTAATGCAAATTACGATTTCTTAGTCAAATCGAAAAATTATTGCTTTGCCGTGTCCTGAAATACCACAAATTCCTTCATGTGCAGCGCATGTGATGCGGCGATGCGTCATATTTAATCAGCACCTGGCAACAGTTGTTTGAACTGCAATCGTTATTGTTATTCTCTTCAAATTGGAAAAAGCTGATGGTGATGACGTTAATCGAGTTAATTAGCCAGCGAAGCATTACAGTATAGTGAAAGATATAAAGATAAAAGAGATTGGGCACTCACTTTACGACTGTTTTCTGAAAAATTCTCCAACACTCATTTTGTTAGTCATCATTGCAAGTGTAGTTTAACTTTCTCTCAAGAAGTCAACCTCTAATTAGAGAACATTCATAACGATATCCACTCTGAAACACCGCTTAATGTTCAAGTTTACTCAGCATATATTAATATTGCTCGCTTTAAGTTTTTATTTCTCTTGAAAGGGAAAATTCTGCCATATCATGATACGGCGGTCTGCTTGCCGATTGAGTTGGCTGGTGCTAGAGTTTTTAATGAGGTTTAATCAGGCCTTTAATGAGGTTAAATCAGTTTTCTAACGAGGTTAAATCCGGTCATCAGAGCAGTTGAATCAGGTCCTTAATGAAGTGAAATCAAGTCATTAACGAGGTTAAATTCGGTATGTAATGTTTTAAAAATCATACATTGATTGAGATTAATTCAGTTAAATGAGGTTAAATTATATCTTTTATGAAGTTAAATCAGTTCATTAATTAAACTCACAGCTGTAGGATACACTATGAGGAAAATGGTCGATTGATATCGACAGCAAATCGAAGTTTGCTCGAACCTATCGGCAGAAGTTTCTAAATTGAGCGCGGTTGGCAATCCCCGCGATAAATAAGGAGTTTTATCACTGATTTACTAAACTGTTATCGCGTCACTATTGTTCTACCCTCTTGCGGTGACTCGACTGAGTGAAACATATAACACGGTAAGCCTCTGTAAGTTATAAACTGTAAGTTTCATTTGTTTATTGTCCCAGAAATTCTCAGTCCGTACACGTAGGCCTCGTTGCAGCAGGGACGTAACTGTAATAGGAAACTATTAAATTCAGCATTCAAATTACTTCCCTCGTTTTATTCTCATAAAAAATCTGTGCATGAGGTTCGTGCCTTGTCTAACATGATATAATGTGTTGCACGTTATTTTGACTTGATCCTTTTTCAAATTCTAACGTGACTTTCAGTCCAGTATTCTAATTTAATCAATTGAACAATATTAAAATGGTTGCTTTTTTCGTAAACTTTACTCTCTTGTTTCATCAAACCTATGTTCTTTTTTTCCTGTTCGAATATCCAATTCAGGAACACAGCAACAATAAAGCTGCTAAAAACGGGATTTTAAACACGCTTTTTAAAGTATTTTTCTGTTATTTTTTCTATCACTAAAACTATCTTTTGCGTGACAATATAATGTATAAATACATAATATATTTCAAATAATGATAAAAAATTATAATAATAATGCATTATATATATGTATAATTTATTAGGAGCGTGATAACAAATATATATACTTTAGGAGGATAGCAGTGCTTTAAATTAATTTGTGAACTAAATAATCCCGTAATTGAATTTTGATGAACTCTCAACCAGATGAGACAAGACTGAGTTAGAAATAAGATACGGGGGAACTGTTGTTGCGGATAGAATACAAATGCAATTAATTAAATCAAATGAAACACGTTGCCCTAAGTATTTCAATCTTGTGCATTCATTTTTAAACTGTAAGACGAGACGAAAATACTTGACAATGAGGAGTTAACAATGTTGAATTCCGACAAAGGCTTTAAAGTTCTACAACCTCTTGTGTAGTCAACGGAGCCGACAGATTAAAGTTGCCGCTAGTTCATGTTCTAATCATCGAAGGTTCGATTGTCAAGGTTCGATCACGTCAAGTTATTGTTTCCGTTTGAAACAAGCGACACCATTAAGGTCTTGTAAATGATTCCCTAATACGCAATATTACGAAGCACAAAGCGCCTAATTGTGCAAGATAACTGAAATTAAGGATCATCGTAGACCAGGGGGCGCAACCGTAAGCCACATATACTACTCTTAAATAAGCCCTGTAGCCAACGCCCAGCTTTACCATGCATTAACTTTACTCAGCCTCAGAGCTATAAGCCGCAAACTACGCTTGAACTCGTAATCCAAACAAGCGACACACTGCGGAAAGATAATTGCGCCATAGGCCTTCAGCCAAGGCATGCTCGCTCATAAGCAGGCAGATCCTCATCCGGCTTTACCTACTCCGGCCTAACCTCTTCTGGCCTAACCTATTCACGCTGTCCCGGCTCACAACCTTCTTGCAGCCAATGACTGGCTCTCCCATCGCACTTGGACCACCTTTCTAACTTCCTGCAGCCAATGAGGTTAGGTTAGGTCCGCTCAGGTTTGTTTTGGGTGGAGAAATGTTGCAACTTGTATAGGTTTGGCCTGAAGAGGTTAGGTTTGAAGAGGTTTGGCCAGATGCAGTATGGCCATGTTTACCTTTGGCAAGCTTAAGTTGTGGCTGTGGACATCCGGCGCTATGGCCTTGAGCACTTGATTTCATAGGCTGTATTGCCCTCTAGCTTTCTAACCTACGGAAAAATATGAACTTAGTGTGAAGTTTGGCAAAGATGGCCTCCACATGCGCCCCGTAGACCACATCATCGCCTCTGATGTTACGTAATATGTGTACTGAACTCTAACTCTCAGTTCCTTGTACCTTGTGCAGCCATTTCTCAGAAACAGCAAATCAAAAAGTAGTAACGAATTTAATATTAAAATCGAATCGCTCATTATTTCTTTCTCATATTGGCCATCGAAATCGCTAATAATCGGCATGTCTAAATTATCTATTTTAATTAAGGAATGCCATGAATAGTGTCTTATATATATTCATTAGGTCAGTTATACCTAAGCATTCTGTGAGCGAGGACCATTTGATTGTCTCGTACAATCGCTATAAGTACCACCGGGTACCACTGCGTACTAATAATACTATATACTTAATGCTAATACTATATACGCAATACTAATGATACATACGTATATTAATCGCAAATACTAAACTCGTTTCCTAACTAACTTTTTAATGCGATAAAATACAACTATTTGAATTTTAATTTAGGCCACTGAGATCAGGGGAGAATCATGTGCAAAAAAGTGTACAGCGTTGCCAGATCTTGAGACAGGTTGTAAATACTTTAATGAAGTATGAAGTAATTAACTAGAAATTTTTTTCGAAATTTAAGTGTTCATAAACGTACGAACGCTTTCCTGATGGGCCGTCCTGTACCAATAAAATAAATAAGCAATAAATGATACATCTACAACCGCTTTTGGGAACTGATACATTAAGTGTGCATTATGAAGTACTGCAGTTCTTTTTAGTATATATCACATTATTGTGCAGATATTGGTTTATTGGTTTGTAACAACACATATAACTTTCACTTCTATAGAAAAGAACCATGTTATGAGTGATTCGGGCATTTACGTCAGCAGTAAATAACGCTGCTCAATGGACAGCGTAATCATCGCTGCTCAATGGACAGCGTAGCTGTAATCATCAAGATTTACATTTGAATTCCGCAGTTCTTTGTTGATCGATCGTCTTTCCCAAATTGTTGTGTGTGTTTTCCTTAACATATGAACGACTACGCAGCTGAATGATGAATAAAGCAGAGATCTATCCATCCTCAGTGTCATTACTTATAAATTAAATCTTTTCCATACGATTAGAATTTATTTGCACAGTTCTGGGAGCACCTGAAAGCAAGTTTTCAAGCTAAAATCAATTTATTTATTAGTCGACTTGTAAACTGTTCCATCTATAGTGCGTCTCACAGGAACCTCTCGCACCATGACTCGACTACCTATCACCTTCCTTGGCTAATCATTTTTTATCAGCTGAATTTCATCCCCCAAAAATTTCATTCATTCGATGTCGCAACAATTTCTGTTATCGCCTCCGGAAATTGATGATCAATTCATGGGCAAATGATTACAGGATCTTAGAGGCAGATGGCGGTGGCGTCGACATTGGCGGAGCCGGAAGAATTTCTTTCATTAACTTATCGATATCTGACTTGGAGAGATAGCAATAATTTTTCTAATTATGTTCATAATTTTATTGACGTCATTACTTAGCCTATGAGATGGGGTAAAATATGCTGTAATTAAACAACAAATTATAATAAATTGAAAAGCAATTTTCAAGAAGTTAGTTTTATTGCCAATCAAGAAATTTCTCTCCATCAAAATTTTAAACATAAGAAACATGTTAGAAAATTTCTATTAGCATAGCTAGAAGCGAAATGATTATCTGCAGTTGTTATTAATTGTACACGAAACAATTTTTGATTATTTTATGAATAGGTGCAAGTTTGTGCTGTCATTTTCAAAAAATACTTATACATGAAAAGTTATATACCACAGCAACCTTTCGTCCCAGATGCATAGATCAAGAATATTGATTACTGGATCAATATAATCATCTAATGGAAAATTCAAGTATTTAATGGAAAATGCAATCATCTAATGGAAAGTTTAATTATTTAATGGGAAATTCAATCAATAGAAAGAGTTTAAACATCTTGCCCCAGACTAGAGCCTGCTGCACTCATGACGCGCAATCTAAGAATGCGGACTGAGGCTCTCGTATGCAATCCGGCACACAAGTTAGAGAGACGAACGCTGCTGTCCGGTTCCTCACACTTCTTCAGTATATTTGCGGCCATATGTATCC